TCCTAGCTTTGGAGCCTGTTCTGGAACTTGCTCTGTAGACTAGGCTGTCCTCGAACTCACAGAGATCTGCCTGCCTCTACCTCCTGAGTGCTGGGAAAACCCAGGGCTTTTGTATGCCAAGAAAGCATACTACTGACTGAGTCAAGCCTCAGATGATATTGTTGTTGTTGTTGTTGATTTTCAAGACAGGGTTTCTCTGTGTAGTCCCGGCTGTCCTGGAACTGGCTTGTAGACCGGGCTGGCCGTGAACTCAGAAATCTGCCTGCCTCTGCATCCCAAATGCTAGAATTAAAGGCATGTGCCACCACCACCTGGCTTTGCTGGCTACAGTTTTAATGTTTCATTTTCTTCAAAGGAATTTTGTTTCAGCTCAGTGCTTAGAACACAGCAGAGCCGGTTGTAGATCTCAGGAAACCACTTTCTGAGGTCGGAGCTGCCTGTGCTGCGGGTGAATGGAGAGATGGAAGGGAGCTTGCACTTGTTTTTAATCAAATCCTTCCAGCTCCCAGGGCCTGCGAGGAACCGCGTTCATCTTGGATGGCTCTTGTGGCACACTTACTTTGTTTTGGTTGAGGGATGATACTGAGGATTGAGCCTAGGTCCTTGGGCATGCTAAGTAAGCGCTGTAGCACTTGGCTGTTCTCCTCACACTACTCTTACTTTGTCAAGGATTTATTTTTATTTCGTGTGTTTGGGTTGTTTTGCCTGCCTAGTGTGGCTATGTATCAGGTGCAGTACCCACGAAGGCCAGCAGAGGGGATAAGATCCCTTGGAACTGTAGTCATAGACTGTTGTGAGCGGCCACGTAGGTCCTCTGCAAGAGCAGCAAGTGCTTTTAACTGCTGAGCCATCTCTCCAGTCCTACTACTTGTATGTATGTATGTATGTATGTATTTGTTATTTTGAGACATGGCCTCACTAAGTTGTCCAGGGTGGACTTGAACTCCAACTGTGGCCTAAGTAGGCTGGAAGTCACTCTCTTCCTTCCCGAGTCTCCTGGGTAGATAGAGTTGTGAATGCACACCATGAGGCCTGGCTCACACTCTTTCATAGGGATCCTTTGGTTGTTTGGGGGTACCCACGTCTCCTCTCAGGTGTGTGGTAACGGTCACACCTTCTCGGAGCATGTCTCTACGCTTTGCCATTGTCTGCGGATGGCCTCAGAATTTAGGAGTAAACAGAAATGGGTACCTGTGCGGTTTCGGTTCTTGGTCACTTGATGTATACTTGAGCTGTGTCAGGGAGCTTTGCTCCCGGACATCAATACTGAGTTAGAGAAAACTATGCAGGGGGAAATTATTATTATTATTATTATTATTATTTTGGATTTTCGAGACAGGGTTTCTCCGTAGCTTTTTGGTTCCTGTCCTGGAACTAGCTCTTGTAGACCAGGCTGGCCTCGAACTCACAGAGATCCGCCTGCCTCTGCCTCCTGAGTGCTAGGATTAAAGGCGTGCGCCACCACCGCCCGGCGCAGGGGGAAACTATTGTGACTGAAGATGGACCCTACATTTCTTTCCCATGTATAAAGGCTACATGATAAAATACAACCCGGGCCACAGGTGTTACGTGAAACTTCCTAGTAGCCACATTTTAAAAATGTAAAAGAAATATATGAAATTAGTTTCACCGACGTTTATTTAATCTAGGAAACCCCAAATATAATTTCAACATGTGATCAATATAAAATAATTCAGTTATTGGGAGGGAGGAAGTTTAATAACACTAAGTTAATGTTAAGGTTGGGCATAATGCACACCGTTAATTCCAGCACCCATGAGGCTGCCAGGGCTACCTCATGAAACCCTATTTTTTAAAAAAAGGACGTATTAATATAGATATGAGGGTTGAGGGAGAGAGACATTCAGAAAGAAGGGTGCTTTTGAGCTAGGGTGTGGCCTAAGAGAGTAACTCAGGAGCTAATTTACATCTTTTTGTGTGTGTGTGGGGCTAAGCCTATGAAATTGTATATTTGGTACATCTTAGAATTACCATGTGTCAAATGCTCAGTAGTCACCTGGGCTCTGGACAACCATGTCAGACAGTGAAGCTCAGAGCTACCAGGGTGAGATAGAGACACAATCACTCCAGTTTGCTTCTGCATTCCAAATAGCCTGCCTAGCCACCCAGACCAAGGTGGAAAAGATGGAGTTTGTATTGACATGAGACCAACAGAGCTTTAGAAATGGGAATTTTCACCCTCTTCCTTAATACCTTCTTTTATCACTCTCTCTCCTTCTTTCTCCCTTGTGCAGTCAGGAATTGAACCCAGAGTCAGATATATACTTGGCAGGCGGGTTTCGAAACAGGGTTTCTCTGTAGCTTTGGTGCCTATCCCGGAACTAGCTCTTGTAGACCAGGCTGGCCTCGAACTCCCAGAGATCCGCCTGCCTCTGCCTCCCGAGTGCTGGGATTAAAGGCGTGCGCCACCACAGCCCGGCCACTGAGCTAACTCTTGACATGTAATTTAAAAATGTTTAGATTTATTTAATTTTCTGTGTGTTTTGCTTACGTGCGTGTTTGTGCACCACACGTGTGTCTCGTGCCCAGATTGTTCATGAGGGCATCAGATCCCCCTGGAGCTGTTGTTACGTGGTTGTAGGCCACCATGCACATGCTGGGAGTTGCCCCAAGTCCTCATCAGGAGCAGCACATGCTCTTAACCACTAAACCATCACTCTAGCTTCTGAAACGTAATTTTAAAAAAGTGTTTCGCCATCACAATCAATGAGAAGGGTTTTGAACCTGTAGAGTTATGTAGATCATGGAAACGCTGCTACCAATGCTGTTCATTTGCTCTAATCAATGGGTTTCAGAAGCGGAGCATTTCTGCTCCATTCTGTTGCCATCTTATTGGGATTCCCTATACTCTTTATGTCACCAGCTGGCAAATGGTGGGGAGCAGACGCATTTCAGAGCCTATGTTACTGTTGTTCAGCATTGCTAAATACTAGACTTTCTGGCCAAGTCTCCTGTCTCTAAGCATGTTTGCTCCAAGTCCCTTGCTTTGGAAGATTCTGGCCCAAAGTTGTGTCCTTTTGATCTATGATACAAAAACCAAAGTTAATAATACCTCTTTTATTTCTCAGAAGTGATAAAAAGTGATTATAGCCGGGTGGTGGTGGCGCACGCCTTTAATGCCAGCACTCGGGAGGCAGAGGCAGGAAGATCTCCGAGTTTGAGGCCAGCCTGGTCTACAAATCTAGTTCCAAGACAACCAGGGCTCACAGAGAAATCCTGTCTCAAGACAAACAAACAAAAAACCCAAACAAACAAACAAAAACCAAAATCCAAACCAAACAAAAAATCTAAACAGACAAAAAAGGAGACTATAAAGTCAGACGTTATTGACAGTTAAAATGACATTCCATCAAATACAAAAAACAAGGCAATACTATTCTTTTGAGGGGGAGGGCGTGGGGACTGGATTCCCATATGTAGTCCAGGCTGGTTTTGTTCTTTAAGGAAGTGACACTGTGCCTGTTCTCTCTACTTTAGTTCATCAAAGCCAGCTTTCAATACGTGAGACCCTGTAAGGAGAGAAGGGGGCGGGTGGGGGGGGGGGAGGGAGAACACCACCCTACTAGGCAAACAAAGAGTTAAATATTTCCAGTCTGCACACATGCACTCACTCAGCTTTGCTAGACTTATCTGTAACTCTAATAGTGAATGGAGTTGGAATCCGAAAGTTCTAGCCTACTTTGTGATTGTATTTTATTTTATTCATTGATAGTAAAAGGAAAGAGCAGGTGGAATTATGAATTGGCAATCCAGCTTCTCTCGTTTTATTCCCCCCCCCCCGCTTTCACCCCCCCCCCCCCAAGTCCCCATCTATTTGGCCTGATTAAACAGCTATGGGTCTGTAGCCAGGCTTCTATATGCTATGACGCCTCTGCTCTCTAGGTGATTTCGCCCACTCTGAGCTTCCTGTGCTCCGTGGAAGCCTGAGTTCGCAGAAGTCTCTCCGTTTCTTCAAAGGTTCGCCAGATACTGAGCAGCCGCCGACTCTGGAAGCTTCGAGCCACGGCGCAGTGTTCACTCGGGAATTCTTTTCTCCTCCCATCTTAGTCTAGAAAGGTGACGCCCGAATCCGCAGCGCTGTTCCCCGAGGGAACTCCAGCAACACCCACCTCAGGCTCTAACAATTTCGCTTCCGTAGCAGCGTTTCCTAAAGTTGCCTCAAATCTTCCCTACCCTTTTGCCAACAGAGCGCCAGGTCTCGCTTTGCTCTCCAGCTGGCTCGGGTCTGATCACTGTGAATCTAGACCGGTGGTCGTAGGGGACCCCGCAGAATTACGTAACAAAACCCGTGGCTGCAAGAGAGGGCGAGCCTGACACTGAGACTTTCCAGGGGGAAGGGAGTTGGTGTCCTGGACTCGCCAGTTCTCAGAAACCGACCGAGGAAGGTGGCTGAGATAAAAAAAAACAATTCGGGAACAAGAATATTAAACAGTCTCAGAACCTACAGCACTATTAGTAAACTGTGGATCACGAGTAGTAATTTCTTGCAGGAAACTGCAGCCTTCCAACTTTTGCATTGAAACTCGGTGGTGTACCCGGAGCAGGGGTGGTGGTGGTGTATGTGTGTGTGTGTTAAAGACCGTGGTATATAAGGTCCAAAGCTAATGAATGGGATTTAATGGTTTTGTTGGCACTATGTAAATATTCCTGCCTAGGAGCGCAAACTCTGTAGTTATTTAGTAAAGTAGGGACTGAAACTAAGAGAGAATGCTCTCCCATGTGTCTTCACTAGCCCCAATCAGAAAAGGCGCTACTAACACTGTACTGCCCCTTTAAGACCTGCTCGCTCTGGGTCTCTACAAAAGGGAGTGACCTCTGGGCTTTGACAGCTCCCCTAATAACTACCACCACGCAGGCTCCGCCTACCTGGCGACCAGCCGCGCCGATTGGCCTGCAGGCCGGTATCCCGTGCTCTGATTGGCCTGCCGCTTCCCCTGAGCGAACCTTTAGAACTCTGAGACAGACAATATTCTGTTACATTGTAGCAAAATGGCGACTGTCATTCACAACCCCCTGAAAGCGTAAGTAAGACTAAAAAATGTACATATTCCGCGTGGTTTCAATATGAAAAAAAGGCGCCTTGCGGAGCGCAGCCGGTGCCTGGCTCTTGCAGACGCCTCCCGCTGCGCCCGTGCTCCTCTTTTCTTCTGCTCCTACTTCTTCATCTTTTTTTTTTCTCTCCCAGCGCGCAGAAATGTCAGGAGATGCAATTAACAAAAAGAAAATTGTTACATTTGTGTTCTGCTTAATTGGCTGACCGGGACCGGGAAGGAGCCCGGAGCGGCGGCGCCTGCTCCGGAGCTGCGGGGGTCGCGAGCAGCTCCGGGCTTGCACGGTCCCCGGAGTCCTCTGCCTCTCCCGGCGCCGCGCGGAGCTGGCTGAGCCCGGTCGGAGCGCGGGGCAGGGGCCGCGTCGTGCGCTTTGCTGAGCTCTGCGCTCCAAGCCCGAGGCTTCCCGGCTCCGCTGCTCGTCCGCCCGGGCAGTCTGACCGACCGCTGCCGCTGCGGAGTTTGCTGGGCGTTCGCTCTGCCTTACGAGCTCTCTCAGGGAGTTTGTGCAAACCTTCCGGAGTTGGGAGGACAGCGCGCTAAGCGGCGGGTCTCGGGAGTCCTGGGGCCCAGGTGCTTGCCTGGGGCTTTTCCACCCGGGCAGTCGGGGGATCAGGGAGGCCCTCCGGGCGGTCGCCGGTGTGTCTGTATATTTGTGGGCGAACTGGTTGTAGTAAATTAACGTCCTGGATTAACTTGGGGGTTGATATGGAGGAGGCAGGGAAGCTGCAGGTCTATGAATGGTGTGCTTGCCTACTCTGGGTGAAAAGCCGGGGCGGGCGGAGGCGGTTCGGGGCTCTGGCGACAGCGAGGGGCAGGTGCCTCCGGGAGACTTTGAGTCGACAGAGGGGGGCGGGCTGCGCGAGGACTAGCGGGGGGCCTGTCCCCTGTCGGAGCTTCCTTCCTTCCTTCCTTCCTTCCTCCTTCCTTCCTTCCTTCCTTCCTTTCTCCCTTTTTTCCTTCTTTCCTTCCTTCCTTCCTTCCAGTCGGTGTACTGTGAATGTGAAGCCGCCAAGTCCGCGGAGCCGGGGGTGGCCTCGGAAAACTAGTGTGGCTCTCAAGGGGCGCTATTGGCAGGGATGTTGGCAGAGGGTGGATCCCTGGGAATCGCAGCGCAGCGTGGGCTCCGGGTCGGTGCCGAATGTACTAGGACTTCCCCGCCCGGGTGAAAGCCTCTGGGAGTAGGAGGGTGCGCGTGGGTGTTTCGTGCCAATTCTTCCCAGTGTGTGGCGGTGGTCGACCCTGGCTCTTATAACTGCTTGCTACAGCGCCCTAACCCCTGGCTTCTGGAGTCAAAAACATGGTTCGCTTTGGAGAGCAGCAGGGCGGCGCGGGGGGGTTCCTAGTGCCAAGAAACGCCTAGGGAGAACCCGCTGCTTTTGCACCCAGCAACCAGGAATAGGGCAGGGATGTCCCAGATCTCGGAGTTTCCACGAGATATTGTCATAAAGAAGACGTTGGAGGCTGAGCTTGAGGCGAGTTTCTGGCTCCAGTTCTCTCTCGGAAGCTCAGCTACTTTATACTCGCGACAGCATTTCACCTAAGAGAGAAATGTTTTATGGCAGAATAAATGGGCGTAACTTCGCCGCGTCCTTGCCGACTCGCGCCGCCACACCGCTGATGCCGGGAGTTTCTCCAGAACCCACACAGCTGATTTGCAATTTCCTCATTTCCAGTCGAAATCACGTAGCCGAGCTGATGCCGCTTGGTAAACTCAAGTCTGAGAGATCTATTTGCTATGTGTATGGCGTTCCTTATTGGGAAAGTGGTATCCTTGATGCCCGGGAGCCGGCTTACGCTCGGGCGCGCGCAGGAGCTCCACGCTCCAGGGTTCCCCAGAACGGTCCACTTTTTTTTTTTTTTTGGACTCAGACGCGTGAGTGTGTAGGGGTAGTGGGGGAAGGGACAGAGAAAGCAAGAAGGTGGCCAATCTCGATAGTGGAATCAGTTTTGAATTACACGTGTACTCCTTAATAATTGGAAACACTTGCCGTGGGATGCATTTGTAACTCCGTCTTGTCACACGCACACGGAGCTCACACACAACACCCCTGCCTGCCTTTCCTAGGAGGGGGTTGAGCGGTCACTTTATAATTAGCGGCCCACTTTTGCATCCCGTCCTCTTCCCCCGAGGGCTAAGGGTGTAAACAATAACCCTAACGGCCAAGCTTTTTGCAGCCTGGACATTTTAAAAACTCCGCACGCAGGAGCACACGCGTCGTTACTGAGACACCGACACCATTTGCTTTTATTATTATTATTATTTTATTTAAAAAACAACTTGTTTAATAAAACATCTTATATATTTCATTTGTTTTTTGAAGTTGCTGATCAGGAAACAAAACACACGTGAATAAATTATGCATGGGCTAAATTAGAACAAAGCACAGCGACACATCAAGCCGGAGGGATTGATGGGGGCGCAGGGAGGAGGAGGAGCAAGGAGAATGGTTTGGAGGGCTTATGTGTTTATCCTTGTGTGCCCCTCCTGACAATGAACCGGAGCTCCAAGCCGCATTAGCATTTTCTCCGTGTGCGTGCAGGCTCTCTAAGCTTAAAAAGGCAACATCACGGACGCCCCCTACAGAAACTGGCCACACAAAGATTTCCGCTTTGACTGCCGGATAAGTAGCAGTAGTAGTTAGTGTGGGGACGAAGCCAGCTCAGGTTTCTTTCATGCAACCTTGTGCAAGGTTCTGCCTTCTTAGACTATGGGTCACTTTTCATTATGCTAGCTTTTTTCCCCTTTCCATGTGGGGCATCCAATAATTCAATTCACTAGGTGACTGGATGGCTAACTTGAATCTCTTTGCTTTTCGTGTGGTGGGGGTGGGAGTGTCTTCTGTAGGGTCCCAAGCGCCTGAAAACAGCCTTTCTTGGTAGCTTGCCTTTCTTCTTGGCTGTCTTTGATCTCCCCTCAGCTCCCCTTTTCCTCCTTGTTGCTTTCACCCTTTCCTCTCTGAAGCTGACAGTCTGGCTTCTCCTTCATCGCCTTTAACTTCTTGTTACTGCCCAACAGGGTGTAGGGTAAGAAACAGGAGCTGCCTGGACAGATTAGATCAGAAAGAGGACTCGGCAGGTGGCCCTACACCGAAGCAGTCACATCTGAACAAATAGAATTCAAAAGCACGATGGGCATGTATGGTGTGTAAATGTGAGTTGCATTCTATTTAAATTAGCAGCTACATTGTCTGAGTGTAAATTGTTGGAGTCATCCTCAATTTCTGTATACACAGGTGAGGGCCACATACAGGTTTGATAAAGGCATGTGTGCAAGTTACATACTTGTTGATTTCTGTATACTTGGGAAATAAAATGCTTAAATTAAAAAAAAAGTTACTTATTTTAGCTGGGTGTGGTGGCACATGCCTTTAATTCCAGCTCTTGGAAGACAGAGGCAGGTGGGTCTCTGTGAGATCGTGTCCAGCCAAGGCTACATAGTGAGTTCCAGGACAGTCAGAACTACATAGAGAGACCCTGTTTTTTATGTGTGTGTATCTTGATCGGGTGAGGTGCTGGTATGTGTGTGTATGTGTGTGTGTGTGTGTGTGTGTGTGTGTGTGTGTGTGTGTGTCAGAGGACAACTTTTGGACCTCTTCCTCCACTATGTGAGTTCTGGGGATTGAACTCAGCTCAGGCTGGGAAGCAAGCACGATCACTTGCTGAATTATCTCTCCTGCCCTATAATGCTTTTCTTGTAAGTTCTAACCTTAATATTCTAGTTTAGGTAGATCACCTTCCCCCGTGTCTGCCAACAACACTTTAAACAGCCCAATCTCTCAATGACTTCTTGAAACTCTGGCTGTAGCACTTAACTGGGAATGCCTGTCACCTTTTGCCAGACTTGATCATGTACATACATATGTATCTATTTTTATAACTCCAAGCTCAGAGAGGAATAAATGCTATCATTACTTAATTACTCTAGTTAGGGCTTTAATACTTTAACTGTTTGGTTACAAACAACGAGAAAAGCAAACTATTTAGTCATGCTTATCATTACGATTACACGTGCACAGTTGCATCAAAACTTTACTGTGTAGAGAGTTACCCTAACTTGGAGGTCAGTGTTGACATCTCTGTTTTATTATTAAGCATATAACTCTGGGAGGAGTAAACGTTTACTTAATCAAGATCCAACGCTGTTCATGTGTACGGATGGAGCTCAAGTCTTCATCTTCCTCTCCGTTCTCTGATGTGGATAATGTGTGCTCTAATCTAAAGAGGTCTGGGGGCATGTAAAAGGTAGAAGCAGACTTTACTCTGGCTGTGGTAGCCAGTTCAGCTATCAGAGAGGAAGGGCCAGGGGGCCACACTCCTGGTCCTAAGCTTGTCTTGACTATTTTGGTTGGGGAGGGGGTGGTGAGTAGGCCTAAATGGAGAACAGTGCGGTCGGGGTTGGGAACTGGCAACCTTTTATGGACATTATGCTAGTCCCTTATGGGAAAGGGAACCCTGGAAGCCAACAGAGGCTTGAGCACTACCCTCTCCCTCTGCTTTTACTCATCAGTGTAAAAATAAGAAGGGATGTTGGGGGGAGAGATGGCTCACCAGTCAGAAACACTTGCTGCTCTTCCAGAGGATCCGAGTTCGGTTCCTAGCACCCACATAGAGTATCTCAAACTGCCTATAATACTCTGCAGGAACACACACACACACATACACACACACACACACACACACACACACACACACATATAAAATAAATCTTTAAAACAAAAGCCTCCAAACTTCATTAGCACACTTTTTTTTCCCCATGGGATGATTGTACCCACAAAGGACATCAGTTTCTGTCAGAATTCAAGTGGAGACATTGTCACAGGGTAAACCTTTGAAAACAGTGCCGTCTGCAGACCTCCTGGGGAATATCTGAGACCCATAAAACAGACTGGCATCTATTGGTGGCTGACTTGGAAGGTTTACTCCTTCCTTGGACCACTCAGGTACCTGGAGTTCGGATTTATCCTCGAAAA